AATACAAATATTCTTTCTCTCACATGATTTTTAAAAAGTAAGAAAGTTTGGGAAATGTGAAGCTGCTGGGTACATAAATATGCCGAGTGACCCTGGATAAGAAGAGCAAAGAGATTTTTACATGGGGTCTAGATAATGCAGCCTGGACCTGAAAGGGTCAGCTTTCAGTTCAAAAGGGACCGGGATGAGGCATGTTTCAGAGCAGCATTCCACTCTGTACAATGACCCGCCCATTTGTTTTCTAATAAAACATATTTGCCCAACTCATGACAACTGGTTTTATTTTTAAATACAACCTTTGCCTCAGAAGCCATCCTCAGAACAAACTTTTCACTGGAATCTAATATGGTCTCTTTGTACAATCACAGACTCAACAGTCTATACTGTGATGAAAAGAGTAAATAGTTTGTCTTAAGATTTCTGCTTGCAAGTGCCGGCCCGTGGCTCACTCGGGAGAGTGTGGTGCTGATAACACCAAGGCCATGGATTCGGATCCTATATAGGACGGCCAGTTAGCTCACTTGGGAAAGCGTGGTGCTGACAACACCAAGCCAAGGGTTAAGATCCCCTTACCGGTCATCTTTAAAAAAAAAAAAAAAAAAAGATTTCTGCTTGCAAGCACCACTTTCAGTTTAAGAGCAGGTGTGAAGTGGCTACTGCAGCCTTTTATATTTCTAAATATTGGTATGTATGCTCCCTGGGTGTTTACCGACATGAACACTACTAACCTCGTTGAGGAGTTATATTTTGTCCCACTGACGCCTTCTGAACAAGTGCACACAGATTTGTGGCGGACAATTCTTTGCATTTTGGAAGGCTTAAAAATACTCATCCATTCTACATCAGACATGTGGCCTGGGGCTTCAATTATAAAGTTACTTGGGTGGCAGCATTTGGATTCACACATGTCACTTTCACCTGGAGAGGCTTCATTTTTCTGGCCACATGAGATTTCTGACCTTTCCATTTGATCTTGACATTCCACATCCATCTTTTCTGGTTCTTTTGAACCAGAACAGTTGGCCAGACCCAAGTAAACTTGGACATCATGCCACTGCTTTTCATGAGATAAAGATGTTTCTGAGAGCTGTTTCACTTCGTTCTGCATCCCAATTCCACTACCTTTTGGTGATTTTGCATGGATTTTGCACAATGTAACTTTGTTTTCAGGCTCATTCTGGATTTTTCCTCCCACAGACCAAGACTTCTGTTTTTCCATTAAGTCTTTTGTAAATACAAATGCAGTATTAATCTGCAGTTTCTTCTCTTTGCATACATCACAAGAACTTGTGTCTGACCTGTTTAGCTGTTCAAACATGGCCTCAAATTTTTGGTCCTTCACCGGTGACTTCTGATTTTTCTCCCTCTTAACATTGAGTCTTGGGTGGTTACTTTCAAGTTCTGATAAACACATGTCTCTGCTATGGTGGCATTAAAAAAAATGAAAGTTAAAAGATACACTGATACTGTCATTCTATATATTGTACCCAAACTTCACCAGTAGAGCTAAATCCCAATGAGACCCATTTGTCTGATCTTCAGAGCCTAGTTCCATCCATACCTCCTCCAGGAAGCCTTTCTAACCACCAAGTCCACATTCACTTCCCCTTTCCCATACTTAAGTCCTATTGTACATACTGTCCATATGACAAAAAAACAACAATACTACATAAATGTGACAAAACCTTTTAACAAATCTTCCTTTAAAGTTTTTCATGCCAAATGCATTCAGGTATTCTGATCTGTATCATTCTGATCCCTTAGAAAACACAACTCTCTCCTTCTATAATAGCATAAATCATTTTATGCTTTTAAGGAATAACCTCAACTTATCTAGTACCTCCCAGTGGCAATGAAGTTCAAAATGGAAAAAGAGCCAATATGTTCGTGGCTTCTACTGGCAAGAGAACCCTGAGTTGGTTTGGTGTCTGCTGGAGGCAGCAGCAGCTAGAATAGAGAGCAATGGGGGTAGCAACCCCAGCAGATGCCTCAGAAAAAAAGCACAGTGAGGGGCAGTGGAAGCCCCAGTCACACTACCTGTAGCGGTAATCGCTTCTTACATCCCATTCATGCAACTAGGAACCGCCACTATCCTGATCTCCATTCTCCCAAGGAAAGCTGTCGTGAGGAACTTCCCCAATTCCTCTCCTTTTAAATGACTCCTTGTAACATTTCTGCTTAGAAAAGCAGACCAAATTTAACAGTAGCACAGGTATATGCCTATTAAATTAAAGCACACTTTATATACTTATATTTTAATTTTATAGAAACCAATTTAATTCCCACAGTGCTTGTTACATATAAGGGAAGATGTCTCCTGTTAACAAGGCAAATGGGCAAATCATGCTAAGAGATCACCCTCAGCTGGCTGAGCTCCTACTACAGTTATTGACACCATTCTTTGGCATTACATTTGCCCTCCACATTCTCAAGTTCCGCATCCACAGATTCAATCAACCACGGATAGACAATATTCAGAAAAAAAAGTATGAAAATAATACAAATAAAAAAATACAATATAACGACTATTTACATAACATTTACATTGTATTAGGTATTATAAGTAACCTAGAAATGATTTAAAGTATAGGGGAGGATGTGCATAGGCTATATGCAAATACCATTCCATTTTATATCAGAGACTTGAGCATCTGTGTATTTTGGCATGCAGGGGCATCCTGGAACCAATCCTCTGGGGATAACAAGGGACGACTGTATTTCTTGCAGGCAAGTACCATGCCCTATATATTTTTATATTCCCTATTCCAAGTCTAGTGCCTAAACACTGTGAGTGCTGAATGATTCATCTCTGTAGTTTCTACTCTAGCTCAAAGCCTTCTACCTGACACACAAGTCAGGTTTAATGAATTTACTTTCATCAAGTGGCTAAAGTAGGATCATGCCTAAAATTCTTAGATAAGGTCTCACTACACTCAAGATTATAACAATATGTTATTAGCTCACAGATATTTATTTCCTACTATATGTGGAGTAGTAGTGGGTACTGGTCCACAATAAATGCGCAGTAAATACTGATTGAATGATGGAATAAAATATAAGATCATATTAACAGCATCTTCCTAAGATTACCTGGATTCCAGTGCCTTTGATTCTTCCATCTTTGAGTCATACATCTGTATGAATTCCTGAGAATTTTCCACATTGAAATTAAGAAACTGCAGATCATTCTGTTGTTTTACATAAATCTGCCGTAGATATTGTTAATCAGTACAAAATGTAATAACAAAACTAAATTGAACCAACAATTTGGTACTTTCAAACCATAAAACAGATCAGATAGTTAGTAGAGAAATATGCTAAATATGTCTGCTTTTATTTTTCCTTTGTTAGATTTGTTAGTATAGCTAGCGTTCTAACTTTTAATGACCATAAACAAGACCCCACCTGCTGTGCTAAATACTCATATGATATCTGTCTAATGTAGTCAGGATTTCAAAAGCACCATTAACAAAATCAACAGGCATACATTTGCTTCATTTGTTCTGTGTTTGTGAATTTTCCCACCTAATAGCTAGAGAGCGATAACTGGGGACATACCTGTCTCAGATTATGCAGTTCTGAATTTGTACGTTCTTGCTTTGACTTTGCTATATCAAGTAACTCATCTTTCCTCTTTTCTCTCTCTACTATTTAAGAACAAATATTATTAAAATATTTTTCATCAATCATATCAACACAAATCTCTCCATTTCTAACAATTTAATGCTCAGCTTATATTATTTTGTTCCTGAACTTAAAATAGTAGAGCAGCTGACTGGGAAGAACTTTAATCTGTGATTCTGACCAGACACTTCATCAAAATGGAAAACTTTCACGATATAATTAATGCTAAGTTAAAAAAGGATTCAAAATTACTTGTGTGTTTGTATGTACATATGCAAGAAGAAGTCTGAGAGCAAGTATACCAAAGTATTAGAAAATTATTTTTAGATGGGAGGATTAAAGACAATTATTTACCTTTCTTTTTTGGGGGGAAAGGATGGGGGTGATTTCCACATCTTGATATGTATATTACTTTAGTTTTTAACTCTTTTCACATCACACAAGTAACTTATGAATGCATTTTCACATACTACCTTCATCAACAGAAAAAAAATTAACATTACAAGGGGAGGAAAATCACTATTTTCACCATTATACAAGTCAATCTGACATAATCTCACAATCAAGCCCTTCCTATATAGTCTCACTGACTAAAGATATTTGTACCTAAGAGGTACCCCCATAGGTAGACAAACTGTATTTCTATTTTACTAAAAGCCCAATACTTCTTCAAAGACTTTCTATTTCTTGAAAACTCTTTGTACCTACCAGGAATTAAGATTCAGAATTCTCTTTAAAATAGTAATACATTAAATTTCTTCTTGCAAAAAGACTGAGAGTATTATAATTTTTTAAATCTTCATTCTTTTACAAAGACCATAAACATTTTGCTGAAACATGGACATTTCAGTATTAACAGAGTTGGGTATGGGAAATCAATATTTTAAAAACAGTTTCAGAACTTAGTAAATGAGAATCCATAGAAAGGAAAGAACCTACGGTACTGTACCAGAAAAATATTAATATTATGCTTAAGGAGAAATAATTTGATTCACATAGAACTGGGAAATCAACAATAAATGCCTCACTTAAAAAAAAATCATGGGGAGAAAAAAAAAAAAAAAAAAAAGGGCCGGCCCAGTGGCGCACTGGAGAGTGCGCCGCTTGGGAGTGCAGCACCAGTCATCTTTTGAAAAAAAAAAAAAATAATAATAATAATCAATACCTTTCTGAGAATTGGGTTCAAACTAAATGTATAAAATGACCCCTTACCCATATATGAATTGAATTGGTTTTAAGTAAATCTAACGCAATCTAAATAAAAGTTTTTGGGGTCGGCCCGTGGCTCACTTGGGAGAGTGTGATGCTGATAACACCAAGGCCACGGGTTCAGATCCCTATATAGCGATGGCCAGTTAGTTCACTTGAGAGAGCGTGGTACTGACAACACCAAGTCAAGGGTTAAGATCCCCTTACCAGTCATCTTTTGAAAAAAAAAAAAAATAATAATAATAATCAATACCTTTCTGAGAATTGGGTTCAAACTAAATGTATAAAATGACCCCTTACCCATATATGAATTGAATTGGTTTTAAGTAAATCTAACGCAATCTAAATAAAAGTTTTTGGGGTCGGCCCGTGGCTCACTTGGGAGAGTGTGATGCTGATAACACCAAGGCCACGGGTTCAGATCCCTATATAGCGATGGCCAGTTAGTTCACTTGAGAGAGCGTGGTACTGACAACACCAAGTCAAGGGTTAAGATCCCCTTACTGGTCATCTTTAAAAAAATAATAATAATAAAATAAATAAATAAATAAATAAAAGTTTACAACTTATATCTATGGTTCTTTCACAAAAGACTTTTTTCACATTATTTCTCGCATGGATGAAACAGAATAAAACTATTTATTATCACTGTAAATTCTGGACATCACAAAAACATTTTAAGGACAAAGGCAGCACGTGATTTGCTGTGACTTCAACTCACTTAGGCAGCTATTCTGCAAGTATACAGTTGGTCACAGGGGACCAGGGAGTGGAAAGAGTGAGAAGCCATCTGTCCAAAGTCACCCCCCACCCCAAAACACGCTTAATGCTCAAGCCCTTTGAATGTGAGTCTGTATCATCATCTTACTTTTAAAGGTAATCCTTGTGCACAAAATTGAGAACCTGAAGAAAAGCACAGTGAATGCCATGGTGCCAGGTCTAAACCACTACGTTTTCTCTATTCAATTCTTAATCTATTTCTTTCCATCAGACAAGTCAACACCATAACAAAACTACATAAATACAGTGGACCTGCATCAGTTATATGAAGTTACATTTAGTTTATGTGAATTCAAAGAAAACAATAAAAGGGCCGGCCCGGTGGCGTACTGCTACAGTGCGCCGCATGGGAGCGCGGCGGCGCTCCCGCTGAGGGTTCGGATCCCACATACAGACCGGCCGCTCACTGGCTGAGCGAGGTGCGGGAGCAACACCGAGGGTTGCAATCCCGTTGCCGGTCCCGGTCCGGTACGGGCGCGACACTGAGGGTTGCGATCCGTTGCCGGTCACAAAAAAAGACCAAAAAAAAAAAAAGAAAACAATAAAAAAGGAAACCCAGCTATTTTAACAGTGGAAGCGATGCCCACAGTGCATGGGACTCTCAGCTGAGCTCCATTCCATAGGCCTCTCATATCAACAGCATCTTTACATGCTCCGTGTATTCCTGATGTTTAAAGATACTTGTTTTAGATACAGTACCTTATCTAGCCCTCAGGGTATTTTCAAATATATCTATCTTGTTTTACAATAATCTACTGTTGCGTAAGGGGCAACTCTACTGTAAATGTAAATGTTTCCCTAGTTCAGATACTTTTCTACATGGCCAGGTTTAGCTGAGATATCAAAGTGGAGTGGGTTCACCTAGTTTCACAAGTTAGTCACAGAAAACAAAGAGGTACAGAACTCTCTGCTAATGTCTGCCTGAGCAAGCAGCCTAAGTAAGAGAGCGTGATGGAAAGGTCACTAGAAATCGGAAACCTGCCAAATTCTGGGAGACCTGAGGCAAGACACTCAGTATCACAAGGACTCATCTGCAGGACTGTCAGGACTGACATAAATGTAAACTAGTATCATCATTTTATTTGCAAACTCCTTATAAGCAATATGAACAAACTAATTACTATGGATTGGATGTCCCCCTCCAAACTCATTGAAGTTCAAATTGTGTCCCCCAAAGTTCCAGATATTGAAAACTTGGTCCCCACTGTGTCTGTTGAGAGGGCGGGAAATCCTATTACAATAATTGATAGGTGGGGCCCTGAAGAGGTGATTAGATTGTAGGACCATGCCATAGTGAATGGATTAATAATGGTGGTCAGGGGCATGGTTCTGAGGGCTTTAAAAGGAGAGCATGTGAGAATCTCTCTCTTTCTGCTCTGCCATTTTCTGCCATATGAGACCCCTGCATTGCTGTAAAGCCACCATCAAAGAAGACCCTCACCAGATGTGTTTTCTGGAATTTGGGCTTCCCAGCCTCTCAAACTGTAAGCAATAAATTTTGCTTTCTTACAAATGGACTAATACACTAATGAAATATGTTTCTCAGCCTACATGAAGAATTTCATCTTCAATAAGAGGCGGTAAAAGTTTTGAACTTAAGACAAAAGTAAAACTTTAAGACACCTTCTAATTTCATATAAAATGTGTTAACTTTTAGTCATAGCACCTGACAGCATATTCTCATGTCAAGCCTTTTAAAATTATTTTTTAGGCTTAATTCACCTCTATAATTAAAACATACCATTGTCTGAAAACAATTTTTGTATAAGATTGTTCTTCAGTAGAAAAGATGTTTAAGAAATCAGCTTAGGAAACAATAAAAAAATTATTTCACAAAATGGATTTATTATAGTATTATCTAGCAAATTCCATACACTTTACCTAGTTATAGATAATGGGATGCATAAGTAAAAAGAGATGAATCAAAAAGGAAACTGTTAAAATACCTCTGACCTCCCATAGCATTTGTATATTTCTAAATTCTCTGTGCCCATGAACTTCTCAGCAAATAGCAGAGTGCCTGGCATACAGACACTGATCCAAAGATGGTTGCTTTTTGTTTCTGGTGGCTGACCAGTACTGGGATCTGAACCCTTGACCTTGGTGTTATAACTCCATGCTTTAACCAACTGAGTTAAGTGCCAGCCCCCAAAGATTGTTTGAATTCAACTGCAAAGTTACAAATATGCTACATCTTGAGAAATATGAGGCATCACTACTTTGAGACACCATAGTCCTAGAAATAATGGATATAGTGACCTCTAGTGGTAGAAAACCACATTATCCCCCCAATCATTAATCACAGGAGATTAAAATGATTCCATTTTATTTGAAAAAATTTAAATGTAATATTGTGTCTTTCCCTTAATTTATAGTAATGCATTCTCTTCTTAGAAGGAGGGGGTCTGAGGGTAGGTATGAATAGAGCAAAAAACATGTTAGTCTATATTTCTATATGGAACTTCTCCCCCAAATCTATGATTTTCCTAACACAAACTACTGAAATGAAAGCCTGATATAATCTTCTTGGCTGGGAGGGATATAAATAATCTCTATGTTTCAGTGATTCTCAACTGGGAGTGGAGAAAAGAGAGGACTTCTTTAGTGGAAACTCTGCGATACTGGGGGTGAGCAGGGGCTAGCGTTTAGGGGAATATGGCAGGGGGATGGAATGGGACACTTATGTTTATCAGAAGGAGGCATATGTCAAACATTGGGAAACTTGCTTTAAATCAAGAAAAATTCATCCCCAGTATTTTTTTTTTTTTTCTTGGCAGCTGGCCGGTATGGGGATCCCAACCCTTGGCCTTGGTGTTAGAACACTGTCCTCTAACCAACCGCATTCTTATATTAGGGTCATACTGAAACATGATGTGGGGCTAGCCAGTTAGCTCAGTTAATTAGAGTGCAGTGTCATAAAATATGATGCAACAAAACATATGAGTATTTTTCCAACGCAATATAGGTAATTTACTTGCAAAAATGGAAAATTATAGGTAATTTATTTGCAAAAATGGAAAGATGCTGAATTCTT